CACAAAAATTAGCCAGGCGTGGTGGCAGACGCCTGTAGTCCCAGCTACTCAGGAGGCTGGGGCAGGAGAATGGCGTGAACCCGGGGGACAGAGCTTGCAGTGAGCAGAGATCGCGCCACTGCACTCCAGCCTGGGTGACAGAGCGAGACTCCAACTAAAAAAAAAAAAATTGAAAAAATTAGGCGGGTGTGGTGGCACACACCTGTAGTCCCAGCTACTCGGGAGGCCAAGGCAGGAGGATGGCTTGAGCCTGGTAAGGTTGAGGCTGCAGTGAGCCCTGTGGTCACACCACTGCACTCCAGCATAAGCAACAGAGCAAGATCGTCTCAAAAAAAAAAACAAAAAAAACCCAACACCTGACTGGGTATGGTGGCTCACACCTGTAATCCCAGCATTTTGGGAGGACAAGGCAGGCGGATCATGAGGTCAGGAGATCGAGACCATCCTGGCTAACACGGTGAAACTCCATCTTTACTAAAAATGCAAAAAAATTAGCCAGGCACCACTGATGGTGGGCACCTGTAGTCCCAGCTACTTGGGAGGCTGAGGCAGAATAGCGTGAACCTGGGAGGCGGAGACTGCGGTGAGCCGAGATCATGCCACTGCACTCCAGTCTGGGCGACAGAGCAACACTCTCTCAAAAAACAAAACAAAACAAAAAAACCATCCCACAGACCAAATTTGTCCCACCACCCGTTTCTGTAAACAATATTTCACTGAGACGTGACCATGCTTATTTGTTTGCCTACTGTCTAAAGCTGTTCTTGCACTAGAAGGACAGAGTAGCTGTGAAAGAGACTACAGGACCTGCAAAGCCTAAGACAGTTCACTATCTCGCCCTTTACATACAACATCTGCCGGCTCTTGTTTTACAGTTTACTTAGGAAACATCATTTCTGCCTTCAGGTGAGGAAATGACAACTTTTGTAACCCTACAGGATCCCAGGTGAGACGCCACAGGTAAAAATTAACAGCTGCTATCATATTGAAGAGATTCAGGAAAGTCTGTGAACTGTCACATGATGAAAAGGTTTGTTTACAGCAGTACTTGCTGAATTTCTCTCAAAATCCTGTTCTTAGGCCGGGCACAGTGGCTCATGCCTATAATCCCGGCACTTTGGGAGGCTGAGGCAGGAGGATCGCTTGACCTCAGGAGTTCATGACCAGTCTGGGCAACACAGTGAAACCGTCTCTACAAAAAATACAAAAACTAGCCAGGCATAGTGATGTGTGCCTGTGGTCCCAGCTACTTGGTGGACTGAGGTAGGAGGATCACTTGAGCCCAGGAGGCAGAGGTTGTAGTGAGCTAAGATTGCACCACTGCACTCCACCCTGGGGGACAGACTGAAACCTTCTCGCAAAAAAAAAAAAAAAAGGAAAAAAAAAAAAAGAAACGAGAAAGAAAAAGAAAAAAAAACACGCCCTAATTTAAAAAAAAATTTTTTTTTGAGACTGAGTCTCACTCTGTCACCCAGGCTGGAGTGCAGTGACGTGATCTCAGCTCACGGCAACCTCCGCCTCCCATGTTCATGATTCTCCTGCCTCAGCCTCCCAAGTAGCGGGAGCCACCACGCCTGGCTAATTTGTTTTTTCAGTAGAGACAGGGTTTCACCATGGTGGCCAGGCTAGTCTCAAACTCCTGACCTCAAGTGATCTGCCCGCTCCTTGGCCTTCCAAAGTGCTGGGATTACAGGTGTGAACCACTAAGCACGGCCTAAAAGAATAATTTAAACAAACAAACAAACAAACAAAAATTCCAGAAATCCAATTCAATGAGAATTCCAAACAGCAAACTCCTCAATTCCTCTTCAGAGACTCTCAGGGTCACTCTTTTTTTTTTTTTTTGAGACAGAGTCTTGCTCTGTCACCCAGGCTGGAGTGCAATGGCACCATCTCAGCTCACTGCAACCTCTGCCTCCTGAGTTCATGCGATTCTCGTGCCTCAGCCTCCTGAGTAGCTGGGGTTACAGGAATGTACCATCATGCCAGGCTAATTTTTCATTTTTAGTAGAGACACGATTTCACCATGTTGGTCAGGCTGGTCTCGAACCCCTGACCTCAAGTGATTCACCCACCTCAGCTTCCCAAAGTGCTGGGATTACAGGCATGAGCCACTGCACCCGGCCGAGGGTCTCTCTTGAGCAGTACCTGAAGCCAGGAGGCGGCACACTCCAACACCGGGATTCGACACACAGCCACCGCCATGGAGACCAGTTTTCCCAACAAGCTCATCCGGCTGTCATCGGCTTTGTTCCCTTGAGGGCTGAAAAGGGATGAAAAAATACTCTGCCGAACAGAGTCCTTGGTTTGCTCCTGGAAATAATTGCACATGATTTCAAGAAGTTGAAGCTCCTGAAGTGAATTCAGTCTCTGCAAAAGAAATCCAGGAAAAGCGTTAAGAAATGTGGCTGTAACGTACTTATTAACTCGTACGTTAAAAAAACAGGAAACAGACTGGGCGCGGTGGCTCACGCCTGTAATCCCAGCACTTTGGGAGGCCGAGGCGGACGAATCACAACGTCAAGAGTTCGACACCAGCCTGGCCAACGTGGTGAAACCCCGTCTCTACTAAAAGTGCAAAACTTGGTCGGGCATGGTGGGTGTGCGCCTATAATCCCAGCTACTCAGGAGGCTTAGGGAGGAGACTCGCTTGAACCCGGGAGGTGGAGGTTGCAGTGAGCCGAGATCGTACCACTGCACTCCAGCCGGGTGACAGAATGAAATTCCGTCTCCAAAAAAAAAAAAGGAAAACAGGAAAAAAGTTTTTTTCCCCGTAGAACTTTTCGCCCTTCGTAAAGCTCCGGTGTCAGGGAGACCTTTGCTGTTACTCTTAGAAAAAAGTCATATAGGCCAGGCGTTGTGGCTCACACCTGTAATTCCAACACTTTAGAGGCCAAGGAGAGATCTTGAGCCCAGGAGTTTGAGATCAGCCTGGGTAACACAGGGAGGCCCCAGCTCTACAAAACATCCAAAAATTAGCTGGGCATGGTGGTGGTGCATGCCTGTAGTCCCAGCTACTGAGAAGGATAAGGCGGGAGGATTACTTGAGCCCAGGAGTTCAAGGTTGTAGTGAGCTGTGACTGCACCACTGCACTCCAGCCTGGGCAACACAGTGAGACCTTGTCTCACCACAACAAAAAAAAAAAAAAAAAGAGAGAAAAAAAAGAAAAAGATGTAAGAGGAAAGCTATACAGATCATTATACATTCTCCTGGAGGGTTCAGGAAGAGCCTCTCGGTAACAGCCCAACAGACTTCTAGAGAGCGGGCAGTCCCCAGTTTGTCCCTTTAACACCAAGACTCGGCTGTCACACGCCCCGCAGACTGGACAGGCAGCTGAGCAACACTGCAGGACCCGGAGAGGGGTTTGCGGGCTGCTGCAGGAGCGAGGCCAAGCGCGAGCGCGGGGCTCCTGGACGTGGGGCGCCCGCGGCTTGACACAGCTCTGCATCGCTGGGGAAAAGGCCCGCCCGCCTGCCTGCGGCGCCCGGGCACCCGACCGTCTCGGGCCGCACCTTGGGCTGCGCGCTGCGCTCCTTGGGCACTTGGAACACGAACTCCTCCAGCAGCTCCACGGGGCCCTTATCCACGATGGGCAGCGGCGCGCTCTGCAGCTGGCTGCTGAAGTAGATGTCCAGGTGGTACAACACCTCCTTGGCGGCGCTCAGCGCGTCGCGGCGCAGCAGCGAGTGGCGGATGTCGCTCATGGTGCGGCCGCCGCGGCCCCCGCGCCGAGCGCGTCTCACTTCCGCCCGGGGCCCGGGGCTGAGCCGCTGCCCGTGGAGACAAAGAGGCGCGACACGGGCCTGGGCTGCGGCACCCGCCCGCTTGCCCGCCTGCCGCTGCCTGCTCCCTGCCTGCTCAGGGTGCCATCGCTGCTGCCGCCGGCCAGCGGGCGCCCAAAGGTCCGACTGCGGCGCCGCCAGGAGCCGCGGGAGCCGCCGCCGCCGCGCAGCCGAACGGCGGCCGAATGCCGGGCACGGAGACGGCGGCCCGCAGGGGCCAAGCGCAGGCTTCGGCCCAGGGGCGCTCTCGGGAGGGCGCCCCCTGGCGGCGCGCGCGGTGAGGTGAGTGCCGCGGTCCCAGGTGGACCCCGCCCCAGGCCCCGCCCCCAGAGCCCGCCCAACCGCCAGTGCGGGCCCGCTCTGTCCTTGCCCAGGCTCCCGCGCGGACTCTGCGTTGCGTTCAGAGCCGCCGCTGGTTGATTTCACCATGCTTTCCACCAGCAAGGATGCGGGGTGGTGCCGGGCTTTGGCTTGGGCCAGCGGACTTGGGTTCCCTGGCCGCCCCAGCTACCCGTCTTCACGTTTCCATCTGTTCTCAGCTGGGGAGCTACGGGGGTAGATGGCTGGAAGGACCCCTGCCCCTGATTCCCATTTCCCCGCCTCTCTGGCTGCGGGCTCCTTGGCCTAGCTGGGTGCAGAACACCTACCACCTGCACTTGAGAGCCCTCCCACTCCAAAGACCTTCCGCACCAAGACCTCATTTCTGGCAGTCATCTCTCCTCTGAAATAGGTGGCAGTTCACTTTCACAATATTTAAACTAGTCAGAAAGGGCTTGAATGTGGACAGAGGAGGGCAGGCCGGAGGCCTCGCATGCAGGAATATGCCTGGTGTATAAGCCCATACTGGCCAGAAGGCAGGCCTGGGTGAGGACACTGTTGTTGAGATGAAAATCCCCTGGGGGAGAGGAGAATAGAGGGGGGCATAAAAGAAAGCACAGCCAGACACAACGTGCAGGCGCCGAGTCGAGACCCTCCTGCATATCCGGCAGGTCAGAGACACGGCTGCAAGCCCCTCCTGTCCACATGCCCAGAGTTTAGAGACACCAAGGTCTCAGCATCACCTGGAATCTCTGAGAAGTCCTCTCTTGATTCCCTTGACACCAAGACTTCAGAGGTGCCCGGTTTCAAAAGAAGATAAGCAAGGGGATTCCTCAGTCAACACCCATTTTCCCCTCTCTCCCTTGCCCACTGGTAGTGATTTATAAGCACAGTAGAAATCAAAACAAACAAGCCATGCTTGGAAAACGAGGATCCACATGTGTAAATAAACGGGAACTACAGCTCAAAGGCAGTCACACACTTGTCATTCTTGTTTCTTCCTCCCATGACATGGAAAGGCAGGTAGAAAGATCTCTTGAAGGTTGCTCCAAAGCCCGTGGGAGTGAATGTTCCGGTGGACTTGGGGCTCTGCTGATGGAGGCCGGGCCACAAGGGGACAACGCAGGCACCAGGCCCAGTCACCTCTGTACCACTCGTTAGTAGTCTGGTTGGTGGCTGCCAGGTACAGGGCAAAGCACAGGTAGCCACCCAGGAGGAAGCTCAGGACCACGACAAAGCCCAGCATGAAGACAATCCGTGGAAAAGTCAGGAACAGGTACTGGGGGCAGAGAAAAGGCAGTGATTTAGGCAGCTGGACTGTGACATCCGAGAGAGTGAAAACGGGCCAACCCTGGGCCTGCCACAGCCACCAGTGCTGCTTCCTCAGCCCACCTACCTGTGTCCAAATGTGACAAACTGAACATAAACAGCACTGAGAAGCAGCCCAGGAATAATCCCAGTACATACAAGTTTCCTGTGGGATGAAGGAAGTGTTCACACTGAAGGAAAAGGGAAAGTTTACTCAGGAAAATGTGCTATTCCAGTTAGTTATTTATAAAATAAATGCAGACTTCATTCATCAAAATAAAATCCGGATGGACAAAAGAGATCAATGTCTTTCTTAAAACAATACAACCCCAAAAATAGATGTGCAAGGATATTCATTGTATCATTGATTTTATCAACCCCTCTTCCGAAGTTTTTTTCTTTTCCTTAATAAATAGAAACAGGGGCCAGGCACAGTGGCTCACACCTACAATCCCAGCATTTTGAGAGGCCGAGGTGGGCAGATCACTTGAGGTCAGGAGTTCGACACCAGTCTGGCCAACATTGTGAAACCCTTCTCTACTAAAAATACAAAAATTAGCTGGGTGTAGTGGCACATGCCTGTAATCCCAGCTACTCAGGAGGCTGAGGCAGAAGAATTGCTTGAACCCAGGCGGTGAAGGTTGCAATGAGCTGAGATTTTGCTACTGCACTGCAGCCTAGGCAACAGAGCAAGACTCCGTCTCAAAAAATAAAAATAAAAAGGCCGGGTGTGGTGGCTCACGTCTGTAATCCCAGCACTCTGGGAGGCCGAGGCAGGTGGATCACAAGGTCAAGAGATGGAGACCATCCTGGCCAACATGGTGAAACCCCGTCTCTACTAAAAATACAAAAAATAGCCGGGGGTGGTGGTGGGCACCTATAGTCCCAGCTACTCGGGAGGCTGAGGCAGGAGAATGGCATGAACCCGGGAAGTGGAGCTCGCAGTGAGCCAATATAGTGCCACTGTACTCCAGCCTGGGCAACAGAGTGAGACTCCGTCTCAAAAAAAATAATAATAAAATAAATTTAAAAATCAATAGAAACAGGGTCTTGCTATGTTGCCCAGGCTGCTTTCAAACCCCTGGCCTTGAGTGATCCTCCTGCCTTGGCCTTCCAAATTGTTGGGACTACAGGTGTGAGCCACTGCACCCAGCCAAGAAACAAGTTAACTGTCCATCCATCAGGAAGGGTAAACTCTGGGATGGTCACACAATGGGAAAACAAGGAGCCATTAAAAATGATGTCAATTTCTATGTACTGATTGTGAAAAGATTTAACATATTGACTAATGAGAAAGACAAGATGCAAGGATTACACTGTGATCTTGTTTGGGTAAAAACAAAACTGACTCCGTAAATGGTGTATGACCATAGGAATTGCGCTGCTTCAAGTTTTGTTTTTGTAATAAGCAAAATGAAGAATTTAGAAAGTTTAATATTTTTGAAAGTCACAAGCAAAGAGAACATTTAACAAAACTCCTGATGGAGGAGACTTTCTAGTTGAAGTTACAAAGAAAAGAGATTTGATGAGAAAGAATGTCTGAACTTTTCTATACCAAAAAACCCAAAAAAACCCAAAACCCCATTCCCAAGATCCAAAAGATCCACAAACAAAAAACCAGTATAACAAAAGATTAACTGTCATTATCATATAAAGGCCTCAAATCAAGAGTTATTCTGGGCCAGTCACAGTGGCTCACACCTGTAATCCCAGCACTTTGGGAGGCCAAGGTGGCAGCACTTGAGCCCAGGAGTTCCAGGTCATAGTGAGCTGTGCTGGTACCATTGCACTCCAGCCTAGGTGACAGAATGAGACTCTGTCTCAAAAAAAAAAAAAAAAAAAAAAAGTTACTATACGACCCAGCAGTTCCACTTCTAGGTGGAATTTACCCAAGAGAAATATAAACATAAAACATATGTTTTTAAACATAAAACATAAAAACATGAACATAAAACATGTTTTATAAACAAAAACATGTCCACACAAAAAACTTGTACATGAATGTTCACAGCAGTATTATTCAAAAATAGCCAAAAAGTGAAAACACCGAAATGTCCATCAACTGATAAACAAATAATTAAAATTCAGTCTATCCATACAATGGAATACTATTCAGCCACAAAAAAGAATGAAATATGGCCGGGCGCGGAGGCTCACGCCTATAATCCCAGCATTTTGGGAGGCTGAGGTTGGTGGATCACTTAAGGTCAGGAGTTCAAGACCAGCCTGGCCAACATGGTAAAACCTCTTCTCTGCTAAAAATACAAAAATTAGGCAGGTGTGGTGGCTTGTGCCTGTAATTCCAGCTATTCAGGAGACTGAGACAGGAGAATTGCTTGAACCCGAGAGGCAGAGGTTGCAGTGAGCCTAGACCGCACCATTGCGCTCTAGTCTGGGCAATAAGAGTGAGACTCCATCCCAAACAAACAAAAGGAATAAAGTCGATTCGTGCTACATGAATTAACCCTGAAAACCTTGTGCCACAAGAAAGAAGCCAGGGGAAAAGACCATATATTGCACAATTCCATTCACATGAAGTGTCCAGAAAAGGCCTATCCCAAAAGACAGAAAGTAGATTAGTGATTACCTGGGTCTAGGGCAGGAGGGAATGGAGATGATGAAATGTTCTGAAATTAGACAGTGGTGAGGGTTGCACAAGTCTGTGAATACACTCATACCACTGTGGTGTACTTTAAAGGGTGAATTTTATGATATGTGAATTTTTTTTTTTTGAGATGGTGTTTCGCTCTTTCACTCTTGTTGGCCAGGCTGGAGTACAGTGGTGCAATCTCGGCTCACTGCAACCTCCGCCTCCCACGTTCAAGTGATTCTCCTGCCTCAGCCTCCCGAGTAGCTGGGATTACAGGTACTGGCCACCACGCCCAGCTACCTTTTTTGCATTTTTAGTAGAGACGAGGTTTCACCACGCTAGCCAGGCTGGTCTTGAACTCCTGATCTCAGGTGATCCGCCCACCTTGGCCTCTCAAAGTGCTGGGATTACAGCTGTGAGTCACCATGCCTGGCCCAATATGTGAATTTTATATCAGTTTAGAAAAAGGAAAAACTTCACATTTGTTAGTTTCTGAGACAGGGTCTTGCTCTGTCACCCAGGCTGGGGTGCAACGGTGCAATCGGCTCACTGCAACCTCTCCCTCCCGGATTCAAATGATTCTTGTGCCTTAGCCTCCCGAGTAGCTGGAACTATGGGCATGTGCCACCACACCCAGCTAATTGTATTTTAGTAGAGATGGGGTTTCATCATGTTATCCAGGCTGGTCTCAAACTCCTGAGCTCAGGCAATCTGCTTGCCTTGGCCTCTCAAAGTGCTAGGATTACAGGCATGAGCCACTGCACCGCCCCGGCTCATTTTTGTATTTTTTGTACAGACAAGGTCTCTACAGGAGACCAGTTATTCAATCATCTGCTGATGGACATTTGGATGTTGCCCAGGCTGGTCCTGAACTCCTGGCCTCATGAGATCCTCCCACCTCGGCCTCCAAAAGTGCTGGGATTACAGGCGTGAGCCACCGCGCCCCACCTAACTTCATGCTTTTACTGGGAAAATAAATGTCCTTTTTGCAATTCTGAAACTTGAAGTCAGAAACCTACAGCATAATTACCTGAATAAGGAAGACCGTGTCCATAACATGGAGGTGTCCAAGGTCATCGACATAAGTCTCCTGGTATAGATCCGACATCACCACCAAGTGGATCAGAAAAGTGGTGCTCACAATGGCGACGGTGGCAGCCGAGGCCGTCAAGGTCAAGAGGTAGATGAGGAAGTACCTGATGTTCCAGGCCCCGATGCAGTTGTTCACCCAAACACAGTGATGGTCGAAACGGTGCACACACCAGTTACACACACCTGCACAGAAACGAGGGGGCATGTGCTGGGATGGTGCTTGATGAGACAAGGACGCCGCACACCTGCTGAGATTTTCACAGTCTGACCACTGGATATATAATCAGAGGGAAATGGCACTGCTTAGTTCCAAACTAAGCTTTTGGAAGTGCGGTGTCCAGTACAGGAGCTGCCAGCCAAATGTGGGTATTGAGCACTTGCAATCTGGCTACTAGAAAAATCTGAGGTGGTGGCATGGACCCGGGGTCCCGGCTACTCAGAGGCTAGGCGGGAGGATCATTTGAGCACAGGAGGTCAAGGCTACAGTGAGCTATGATCGCACCACAGCACTCCAGCCTGGGTTAACAGAGTGAGACGCTATCTCAAAAACCAAACCAAAAAATGGAAAGGACATTTTGTCAATATTGACAAATTTACATTTGTTTTTTACTACAATACTCCTTTGAATTCAGTGTAAATATGGAGGCAATGGAAGAGTTAGTTAATTTACTTGACTTGGATAGACATGTTTTAAAACTGATGTTCCTGCTTTAAAGTCAAGTCAATTCTTCTGATTAAGATGAATCATTATGTCAACGTAGACATGGATGGTAAAGGAAAATGATTTTTTTGGTACCAAATTCAGATATTGGAAAACTTTTAAGAATGTATGGATATAACTTGCACCTGTGAGTCTACTTTTTCAACTATACATTTTATTAAATCTAAATATACAAGTATTTCCACATGAAAATTTAGTGTCCAAATCAAGACGTGCTGTAAATGTAAAATACACACCAGATTTCAAAGGCTTAGTATGAAAAAGAGAATATAAACTACCTCATGAAGAATTTTTTACATTGATTACAGGTTAAAATGATATATTAGGTTAAATAACATACTGATTAAAACTGTCTCCAAGCACAGTTACATTTTGAAAAACATTTTTAAAAAACTGTTTCTATTTGTGGCTTTTTTTTTTTTTTTTTGAGACAGGGTCTTGCTGTGTTGCTGAGGCTGGAGTGTGGTGGTTTCACCATAGCTTACTGCAGCCTCGATCTCCTGGGCTCAAGTGATCCTCCCGCCTCAGCCTCCTGAGTAAGCCAGGACTACAACTTTTGTATTTTTTGTAGAGGTGGGGTTTCCCCATGGTACCCAGGCTGGTCTTGAACTCCTAGGTTCAAGAGATCTGCCTGCCTCCCAAAGTACTGGAATTCCTGGCATGAGCCGCTGCGCCCAGCCACATTCTATTTTTGTTAGACAGCACTGGTCTAGAATCTTGGGCCCTCCCCAGAAGACTAGGCTTTGTAGGACTGAAATCCGCAAATACAACATCCACAGAAACACCTTGTGGGGAGCATGTCCTCCCATGTGGCGAGGGAAGGGCTGTTATGCCCGGGGATGAGGACTGTCTACTACATAGGAACACAAGACCTGACCCTCACTCATCTGAAAGAAACCATTATCTCAACTCTACAAGTAATGGCCACACCACGTCTGGGGGTGAACTGGCTCTTCTTTTAGATTCAGGAAACAGTCCCTCACAGACAAAGCCCGCACATGTGCTGTTGGGGGTGCCGCTGGAGTCACGAGAACCACACTCACTGCAGTGCTTGGATCGAGCTGGTTTCCTTAAAGCACAAGTAGAGCACCTCACGTTCTTTGGAAACATCACTTCATCAAATTCATAAACATGAAGAAATAATAATTCATTTGCTTTTGTTATAATGCCTGAGAAAAGTAAGGACATATGTCAGTTTCGTGCAATATGGTGGACTGGATGGTCACAAAACCCGTCCTGATAAAACACAACTGAACTTGCTATCTTTAATAGCTTAAGCAATTCTTTTTTTTTTTTTTTTTTTTTGAGACAGTCTTAGTTTGTCGTCCAGGATGGAGTGCAGTGGCGGGATCTTGGCTCACTGCAACCTCTGACTCCCGGGTTCAGGTGATTCTCCCACATAAGCCTCCCAAGTAGTAGCTGGGATTACAGATGTGCTAACGCATGCCTGGCTAATTTTTTGTTTTTTTCTTTGTTAATACAGATGGGGTTTCACCATTTTCACCAGGCTGGTCTGGAACTCCTGACCTCAGGTGATCCTCCCGCCTAGGCCTCCCAAAGAGGCTGGGATTACAGGCATGAGCCACCACGCCCAGCCGCGCAATTCATTTTTAATAACAGCTTTATTCAGATATAACTCACAAACCTAATTCACCCATTTAAAGTGTACAATTCCGCCAGTGCGGTGGCTTAGGCCTATAATCCCAGCACTTTGGGAGGCTGAAGTGGGTGGATCACGAGGTCAGGAGTTTGAGACCAGCCTGGACAACATGGTGAAACCCCATCTGTACTAAAAATACAAAAATTGGCCAGGCGAGGTGGCGCACACCTGTAGTCCCAGGTACTTGGGAGTCTGAGGCAGGAGAATTGCTTGAACCTGGAAGGCGGAGGTTGCAGCAAGCCGAGATCGCACCACTGCACTCCAGCCTGGGCGACAAAGCATGACTCCATCTTAAAAAACAAAAAAAGGAACAGCACCATACCAATCATGTGCTCTATATATGACAAAATGAAGTGAAAGTATTAAAAAGATAAACTAAAACTTTTAAGCGGTTCTAAATAACCCGTGGGTCGAAGAAGAAAAAAAATTAGAAAACACTCCAAACTGAAAGATAAGGAAAATGCTACACATCAAATCTTTTACAAAGTCCTCGGGGTGAGGGAGCCTCTCCTTGTTTGCAGCACTATTAGTAAGACAGTGGAGCTGTCACCATGCTGTATGCTAAGAGCCTCAACTTACCAGGATTGGTTACACAAGTCAGGGTGAAAGAAAACAGGTTTACAACTAGCAGCAGATAGGGCAGAAGAAGGTAATACAAGGAGAACTCCAGCTCCTGACAGTAGCCAAATACTTCCCAGGTGTACTCAGTATAAACCATCCCTTGCAAGACCAGGTGCAGGACAATGAAGGTGTGGTTTCTGAAAGAAAACAGGCACACGGCTTGTTCGTGGGGGCTTCTCCTTGAAGAAATTGTATGATACTAAAGAAAGTAACCAAGGGTCAACCACTTCCTTTGGGCTTGAGATAGTAGTAAGAATTACATAGAAAACTCTGTGAAACATTCTGCATGTATTTAACAGAAATACATGTCAGTATTTTCCCAATCTTTAAATATCACTATTCAAAAGTAGACAAGTTAAAACCTCCGTCTCAAAAGGTAGATTAACTATGAGTAGAGGCTCCCAACTCAGGTCTCTTGATTCTTTCTGGCCTTCTTTCCCTCACCATGCTGGAAACCACGAGGAGCTTCCTGAAGCTGGAGGATCTCAACAATTAATAATCAAAGCAGAAAAGAGGAGAATATTTAAACTCTGAAATAGAAATACCTCGTATGGAAAAGGTAGTGAAGCGATCTGTGCATGGCTCTCTGAAGACATTCTGGAATTACACAGGAAAATATCTGAAACAAAAGGAAAGGGAAAGATTCCATTTCATTTCTCACTTCTCCACTCCCAAACAAATCAGACACTCCACACACAGCTGGCAATCTGCGTGAGAGGAAGTTTGGTTTCTGTATACAGGTAAAGAAGTGATTTAGCAGAGAATAAAGAGGGGAATTCCTTCTACTGGTCTTCCTTTCACGCCAGTTCCATTTCTAGTCTGACTCTGAAGAAGGCACCTGTCAGGGTCTTCAGGGAAAGCGAGGTGAGCAGAGGGAATGGGTCATGGAATGTTAATGTGAAGGCCGCTACTTCCCCGGCCTGGGTTCAATCCCAGGTTCCAGCGTCCACACCCAGATCACTGGGCTTGGCCCAGGTCCCTGCCAAGTCAATGCCTTCCCATAGGCTGCTTGTCCCGTTTTGCTCACTTTGATCCCTGAAGGAGGGGGGCCAGTCAATGCTGAGCTTTCTGCTCATACACCCCCCAGAGTCACCCATCAAGTACCCCAGGCGGACCCTGCTCACATCCATGCCCAATCACAGGCATCTAATCCAGAGGAAAACAGCAACCTCTTCTCTCAAAGCACCAACGCAAGAGGACTTTCAGCAGGAACAAAAAACACACACAGACAGAGGCTATGGAATGTCCCACAACTGCCATCAGTGAAATAAATCCATCAATGACGTTGAGTGGCATCTTTTTTGTGGTTGTTGAGACAGGGTTTCACTCTGTAGTCCAGGCTGGAGTGCAGTGGTGTGATCATAGCTCACTGCAACTTCAAACTCCTGGCTCAAGGGATCCTCCTGCCTCAGCCTCCTGAGTAGCTGGGATTACAGGTGTGAGCCACTGCACCCAGCCTGGCATCTCCTTTTTGTCCTGTAGCAAAACTGGTGAGTCTCTTAGACTAGCACAGTATTCAAATTCCAGTGCTATCCAAGGATCATCCTTACCTGTGCTCCTCCCCTGGCCAGGCCTTTCAAGCTATGGGTTTTCGAGCAGACGCAGATAAGAACAAGACCCAGCACCACCAAAGCCAGGTAGAACAAGAAGAGGATCAGGAAGTCCATCCTGGGGCTACAAAGGAATAGGAAGAGTGTGACTATCTGCTACTGAGATTTCTTCCATGACACACATTCTCAGAAATCAACTCCCAAATGGCCACCAAAACAGAATTCACCTAGACTTTAATGATGTCTCAAAGCAAAAACCAGAAAAACCAACAAACAAAACAGAATTCCTCAGGCACACACAACAGAGGCCTGCTGCCTCTCACTGGGGCCTCCCAAATGGTCCTGAGCTCCCTCCATCAGGATAAAAATTCTGGGCCAGGTGTAGTGGCCCATGCCTGTAATCCCAGCACTTTGGGAGGCAGAGGTGGGCAGATCGCTTGAGCTCAAGAGTTTGAGACCAGCCTGGGCAACACAGTGAGACCCTGTCTCAATTTAAAAAAAAATTTTTTTTTTTTTCGAGACGGAGTTTGGCTCTTGTTACCCAGGTTGGAGTGCAGTGGCGCAATCTTGGCTCACTGCAACCTCCGCCTCCCGGGTTCAAGCAATTCTCCTGCCTCAGCCTCCCTAGAGGGTGGGATTACAGGCATGTGCCCCATACCTGGCTAATTTTTGTATTTTCAGTAGAGACGAGGTTTCACCAAGTTGGCCAGGCTGGTCTCGAACTCCTGACCTCAGGTGATCCGCCTGCCTCAGACTCCCACAGCGCTGGGAGTACAGGCGTGAGCCACTGCACCGGCCCAGGATAAAAATTTTGAATCTGGCCGGGCGCGGTGGCTCAAGCCTGTAATCCCAGCACTTTGGGAGGCCGAGACGGGCAGATCACGAGGTCAGGAGATCGAGACCATCCTGGCTGACATGGTGAAACCCCGTCTCTACTTTAAAAATACAAAAAAAAAAAAAACTAGCCGGGCGAGGGGGCAGGCGCCTGTAGTCCCAACTACTCGGGAGGCTGAGGCAGGAGAATGGCGTAAACCCGGGAGGCGGAGCTTGCAGTGAGCTGAGATCCGGCCACTGCACTCCAGCCTGGGCGGCAGAGCGAGACTCTGTCTCAACAACAACAACAAAAAATTTGAATCTAACACTCTAACACTGTGGCCTGCCTTTGAAGCATCTCCAACCTGCAAATGCAAAATAAACTAAGAAAGAAAATGCATCCACCTTCCTTGCCCCCAGGCACGAATCATTCTTTTACTTCCTTAAATATTCACAAAGATACAAGATTTCCCCCCAAAGAATCTGCTGACAATGCCTGGAGAACAAGCATCTCCTAGAGGCAGTCAGGAGCCCTGCACCCAGAATCAGGCATCCTGTCCTAAGAAGCATCCCTCCAAGACACTGGCCACAACTATCAGGAATCACCCTCTGGAACCAGAGTCAACACACAGGCCTGTGTTAAAATACTGGATACTGTGGCCGAGCATGGTGGCTCACACCTATAATCCCAACACTTTGGGAGGCCAAGGCAGGTGGATCATGAGGTCAGGAGTTTGAGACCAGCCTGGTGGTTTCAGCCACCAACATGGTGAAACCCCCATCTATACTAAAAACACAAAAATTAACCGGGCATGTGGCACGTGTCTATAATCCCAGCTACTCAGGGGCCTGAGGCAGGAGAATCGCTTGAACGCTTGAACCCGGGAGGCAGAGGTTGCAGTGAGCTGAGATCATGCCACTGCACTCTAACCTGGGTGACAGAGTGAGACCCGATCAAAAAAAAAAAAAAAAAAGAAAGAAAGACACTAAGACACTGGACACTAGAATTCTTTTTTTTTTTTTTTTTTTTTTGAGATGGGGTCTCGTTCTGTCACCAGGCTGGGGTGCAGTGGTGATCCTGGCTCACTGCAACCTCCGACTCCAGGGTTCAAGCGATTCTCCTGGTTCAGCCTCCCGAGTAGCTGGGATTACAGGTGCATGCCACCACACCCGGCTAATTTTTGTATTTTTAGTAGAGACAGGGTTTCACCGATTTGGCCAGGATGGTCTCAATCTCCTGACCTTATGATCCTCCTGCCTCGGCCTCCCAAAGTGCTGGGATTACAGGCGTGAGCCACTGCGCCCAGGGATACTGGAATTCTTTTCCATAGTGTAGTGGTTTAAAAACAAAAAATAGAAAAGAAAAAAAAAAGGTACTGGAATTGGCCGGCCATAGTGGCTCATGCCTGTAATCCCAGCACTTTGGAAGGCTGAGGCGGGAGGATCACTTGAACCCAGGAGTTCAAGACCAGCCTGGGCAACAAAGCGAGACCCCCATCTCTACAAAAAATACAAAAATTAGCCAGGTGTGGTTGGGCATGGCTGTGGTCCCCAATACTCAGGAGACTGAGGTGGGAGGATTGCTTGAGGACAGGAGTTCAAGCTTGGGTGGCAGCATGAGGCCCTGTCTCAAAAACACTCACCAGCCAGGCGCGGTGGCTCAAGCCTGTAATCCCAGCACTTTGGGAGGCCGAGACGGGCGGATCACGAGGCCAGGAGATCGACACCATCCTGGCTAACATGGTGAAACCCCGTCTCTACTAAAAAATACAAAAAACTAGCTGGGCGAGGTGGCGGCACCTGTAGTCCCAGCTACTCAGGAGGCTAAGGCAGGACAATGGCGTAAACCCGGGAGGCGGAGCTTGCAGTGGGCTGAGATCCGGCCACTGCCCCCTAGTCTGGGCGACAGAGTGAGACTCCATCTCAAAAAAAAACAAAACAAAACAAAAACAAAACAAAACAAAAAAAAACCACTCACAAAAAGATACCGGAATTGGTTACTTTTGACCTTAGCAGATATGATTCTGGGCTGGAATTCCAAGTGAGATAAACAAGAAACTATTCATGACATGATAGGCGAGAGCAAACAAACAGCAACAGTTCTCACCTGGTGATTCAGGGTGCCCAGCCTACATTTCTTTTGGTTGGATAATTTTCAGTTGGCAGCTCTGGCATTCCTCCTACCAACATTCACAGATAATTCAAACAGCAGCTCCTCTTGGGCGCAGTGTGTGCCTGGCACGACTGGTAGCTACCGGACATTGTCCTTCCAGGAGCCTGGATCTGACTGCAGAGACAGATCAATTCGACACCCACATAATAAAACAAGAGTAGCAGTCAAAGGCAGAATACGTTGTGGAAAAGGATTTGGAAGCAGGAGATTTTCAGCACCCCCAGCACAAATGGGTAAGACTTTGGGAGAAATGGTCCAGACTAAGTTGCTCAGGCCAGCTCCCAAATCTTTGGGAGGCCAAGGCAGGAGGATCGCTTGAGGCTAAGAGTTCGAGACCAGCCTGGGCAACATAGTGAGACCACTGTCTCTACATAAAAATTTAAAAATCAGCGGGACGTGGTGGCATGCACCTGTGGTCCCAGCTACTTGGGAGGCTGAGGCGGAAGGATCGCTTGAGCCCAGGAGGTCAAGGCTGCAGTGAGCTGTTATCGTACCACTACCCTCCAGCCTAGGCCACCACAAAGCTGGACCCCATCTCTAAAAATAATAAAACAGGCTAGGCGCTGTAGCTCACGCCTGTAATCCCAGCACTTCGGGAGGCCGAGGCGGGTGGAACACCTGAGGTCAGGAGTTTGAGACCAGTCTGACCAACATGGTGAAATCCATCTCTACTAAATACCAAAATAATTAGCCAGGCATGATGGCGCATGCTTATAATCCCAGCTACCCGGGAGGCTGAGGCAGAATTGCTTGAATCCGGGAGGCGGAGGGAGATTGCAGTGTCCAGCCTGGGAAACAAGAGCGAAAAGCTGTCTCAAAATATAACAATAATAAAGACTTTGAGAGAAACAGCTAGTTGAGAAGAAATAAGCCAAGTCGGTAGCCTCAGGTCTCTCTCTGCCCCTCCCCATTAGGGCCTCCCGAAGCTACCCGCATCCAGGACACCTGGCCGGAGCTTTCCCTGGGGGCTGGAGCCCTGGTAGGGGGACGTGGAGTGCAGCAGGCTCTGAGGGGACACCGGGGCGGCCCCGGACTTGGGCGAGGTGGCGGTGGGACGGCGGCCCCACACACAAGGGGTAAGGGAGGGTCAGAGGAGGAGACTGACGGTCCTGGGACAGCCCAAGCTTCCCACAGCCCCGCGGAGGCGGCCTTACCGCCCGCCGCTGGGCTCCGGCGCCTCCCGGGCGCAACACAAGACTTCCTGCGGGCTAGTGACATCAGCGCGACGCCCCTGCGGGGCTGACTTCCGGCGGAAGTGTGCGAGGGCCTCTGCCGGTTGCAGGGCTGGACTAACAGTGACCTCCCCGGCGCCCTCGCAGGCAGCCTGGGGACCTCTGTGGCCAGGTGTAACCGCTGGGAAGTGCGATTGTATTGTATTGTATTGTATTGTGTTGTATCGTATCGTATCGTATCGTATCGTATTGATTTTTTCTTATTTGCTTATGTATTCATTCAGAAATTGTATTGTATTTTTTCTTATTTGCTTATGTATTCATTCAGAAATTGTATTGTATTGTATTTTTTCTTATTTGCTTATGTATTCATTCATTCAGAAACAGCCTCACCCTGTCGCCCAAGCTGGAGTGCAATGGCCTTATCATAGCTCACTACAGCCTCCAACTCCTGGGCTCAAGCAATGTCTCCTGCCTCAGCTTCCCAAGTCGCTGGAACCACAGGTGCATGCCACCATACCCGTCTAATTTTTTTTTTTTTTTTTTTAATAGAGACAGGTGTTTCACTATGTTGCCCAAGCTGATCTCGAACTCCTGGGCTCAAGTGATCCTCCCACCTTGGCCTCCCAAAGTGTTGAGATTACAGGTGTGAGTCCCTGAACTGGGCTGGAAGTGGGATTTTAGAGCAATATTGCCAGCAGACTTACAGGAGGACCGACCTGGGACTGGTGGGGGCGTAACACTGGGGCTGTTACAGGGACTACGCTGCCCTGCGGCCTGAACAGAGCCCGGTCATGTCCCTGCTCAGAGCCCAGCAGGGGGATCCGGGTGGCCCAGGGCAGTCACACTTAGGGTGCTCTCAGACTGTGTCTGCGTGGTGGACAGAGTTTGCTTTCAGCCACCCACACTGTTGGGATCTAGCTGAACAATTTCAGCATCTTCCGTTGCAGAAGCGGGCAGAAAGTGCAATGTGTACCCATCAGTCAGATTCCGCTCCACGTGTGTCCTTGCTCCTGATGACAAGGACACCTTGCTCTGTACAGCCCTAAATATCTTCCCCCTGGGGCAGTGACAAGTACTTGACCACAGACCTTGAGGATAAAAGGGAACGCTGTTTGATGCTAGGCAGCCTTGGGGTAACAAGAGCTGCTTCCAAACATAGCCCTGAGAAGGCCCTGTGGGGTGTCCTTTGCTCTGACCGTCTCTGAATCAGCTGAGGCCAGGGTCTATTCTTGATGCCTCTGAAGACCTGAGCCAGGCCTGTCCTCCTTTGAGGGGAAATGTCTGATCTCCAAACACTGGCCTTAAAGCTCTTCTCTTTTCCTGTCTCGTTGCTACCTATGTCAGCTTCTTGACGCTTTTTCTTTTCCTTTTTATGAAACTCCTTACCAACAGGATGCCTTCTCCTGTGTACATTGTATCCAAGGTCTTCATAAATTTATGGACCCAGAATTGAAAAACCAAGGCTCATGCCTATAATTCCAGCACTTTAGGAGGCCTTGTGGGAGGATCGCTTGAGCCCAGGAGTTAGGGAACAGTCTAGGCAACATATGGAGACCTTGTCTCTACAAAACATTTAAAAATTAGCCAGGTGTGCCGGCATGCACATGCTACTTGAGAGGCTGAGGTGGGAGGATTGTTTAAGCCCAGGAGGTCAAGGCTGCAGTGAGTTAGGATCACACCACTGCACTTCAGCCTGTTTCAAAAAAAGAAAAAAAAGATTAACCTCCCAGTACTTGGTCAGTTCCTGAAACCTAGGCGTGTTTGATTTTTTTGCCTTTTCTTTAAAACCTCCAAGCACAAACCTTGGCACCTGCATTTTATAAATAGCATAGGAGAAAACAGACTATTTAAGCTTAAAACCAAAAATTTAATTCAAGTGTGATCAAAAGGATTGCATTGCTTGTGATGCATGGAGCAAAGAATTCCTCTTTGAAGTGTTGCTAAACCCTCCTGTCAGCCGCTGAAACTGGACCTGCAGTATCAGTTTTTTACCTGCTGCGAGATCAGTTGACAGGATCAACCAGCTTTACACCACGATCTCTTGCTCCCAAGGGAATGATGGATGCTATACCTTGGAAATGGGATACAGGACTTCGTAGCTACGCTTGCAAAAGGCACATCACACATGATGCTTGTTTACAATCAGTGATTTATTGGCCATGAGGAATTTTGCCATGGAGACATTAAGAAGAAAGAAAGGAATGGCCGGGCGTGGTGGCTCAC